CCCCGCCGCAGCGGCGAGGGTGGCGCGCCGCGGCTGCTGCGGGCGCCCATTGGCGTGGGCGCGATCTGACTGGACAATGCTGCACGACGTGAAGCCATTACGAGCCTCTGCAGGGGCAGGTCCGCACTGCTCCTGATCCCATGCCTTGCGGGCTGCCCGTGCACAGTCCTGTCGGCTGGGGCTCCCTCGGAATGCAAAATGACATGTAGATGTCTTCCACATTCTCACGAGCCACCAACGAAGCGGCCAGGACGCGGCAGCCCGGTGCACAAGACGAGCATCATCCCGTTCCAGGAGCACGCATTCGCTGCCGCCACCGCATTCTCACCTCCTTGATACCGCAGGTGACCTGCAGGGCGCCACGCTTGGGCGCAGCAGCCCTGCTGCTGGCGGGGGCAAAGGCGCCAGTGCGCATCGCGAATGCCATTTTGGCAGCGGCTGTCCTTTGGGATGAGGGGAGAGCGTTTGGCAGCTACGCTCTTGAAAGGCGAGCGACATCGCAATCGAGCTCGGTTTTGATTACGGACGCGGGTGCTGAACGGGCGTGCCCGAGCTGCAAGGGTTGACCGTGTGTGGCAGGTTGTCCTTGGACATTTAATATTTGTTAAAATTAAAGCCGCTTTGCTGCGATGCTGGCCACAGCGCTGCCCTGCAGGGACGCGTTGACCACAGCGCTGCGCTTTGCCAGGGGCGCAACCCGATGCTGGCGTCCCCATGCGCGAGCACGCTCGGCACTCACAGTGTACATTATCATATTCCAATTGCATGTTCAAACCCAGTTTTGTTCAATGTGTTTAAATTTACCACGCAGCAGGCAGGCTGCGCGTGACAAGCCTTCGCTTTCACTGTGAATGCCCATCCTCTATGCGGTACGTCTGCGGGAAAGGCAGACCCAGGCAGCTGGTCGCGGACCGCTTCATCAGCGCACTTCTGATTGTGTGCCCACCGCAGTAGTAGTCCTTTCCAGGCCTGCCTCGCTCTCCAGGTGGTGACTTGGCCTGCTTATCGCTCGGCGCCCCGCGGCTGCGTGGCCAGCAGACGCTGTTTCTGTTTCCGGTCTGCTGAAGGTGCAGCGTCGCTTCATTGGGGCGTGAGGATGCGACAAACCATCCACATGGCTGCTCTGAGGGTTCTGGGATGCCCCCATTTCCCAGACATCCACCCCCACCCCGCAGCCGCGCTCACAGGCGCCACGCCCACAGTCTCCGCCAGAGGCGTCGCCTGCGCCGGGTTGTCAGTGCCGCCGCCTGCTTGCTGGGCGCATGTGGTTTATCCTTTTACATGGCGGCTGCTGGATGCCGGCCAGGCCTTTGGCACGCTCAAAACCCTGCCGGCAACAGATGCCCCGCCTGCACTGTGTGCTGCGCTGCCGACACAGCCGCAGCAACTGCCCGATCGTGCAAGCAGTGTGGCATGAGCCAGCGCTCGAGTCACGGTCGGCTCTCTTGAGAAGATGTGCGTGGCTCAGCCGGCAGCTCGCTGCGGGCACTGCATGCGCACAGTCAACATGGCCGGTCGATGCGTCACCGCCTGCCCGGTTTGTCAAGCGGCCAAGGTGGACGCAGCTGTGCGACAGCAAGAGTCCCCTCGCGCCTTGCATCAGACATGTAGGATTATCTCTTGTCATGAATGGCGTTGATGCGCACTTTGCTTTACTGCGCACCCCCTGTTACTCCCCTATATACCGTTTTAGCAAATACAGAAGAGATCCGCGACTCTCCTTGCCGACACCCGTGTGGCTGATTCCGGGGTACCCATAGGCACCTCAAGACACTTCAAATCACTTATTTCAACATTTCTCACCCGCGAGCAGGTTGTCCATCGCCATGCTGATTGGGCGACATGTGCGCTTGCTCATGCTGGCGTTCCTCCTCGTGCCCCTCGCGTGGCCGGGGGCAGCACAGGAGGCGTATGTCAAAGGTGGGCGCACCCTAGACTGTCATCATATGCAAAGGGGTATGTACGTACGTCGGCTGGGCATGCCATTCCCTCCAGCGTGCGTTTGCGAGCTTGCGTGTGGGTCGCAGTGTCAGCACCTTAGGTGGGGGACGCGGCGTGCTCAAGGCCTCGCCGTCACCACGGGGCACTGGGTTTCAAGTGCTCTTTGATGCAACAACGGCAGCAGCATAGAACGCGCTGGCGTAAGCTAGGGCCGGCACCATGCCTCACAGACGACCGAGCAGTCGCGCGCAACAAATAAAGTTCTAAGGCGAGGCCGCCCCCCATCGCACTTTGCTTGGCCGCTCTGCACACATCGCTGGGCCGCACCACCCACGCACATCGGGGAGATCAGCTTCTCCTGGCCGATGAAGGCCCTCCTGGGAATCCCGCCTCTTCAGTCCCCTCCTCCCCCTCTCTGCACCCCTCGAATCCTTGCCGCCACCGCGACAGTTGAACTCACAAGGAAGTCCATCCGCATCCTGGGCCGCACTCCGCCGGCCGTGATTGTGCTGCCCGAGGACGCCAAGATCAAGATCACATCCGCAAAAATCCTCGGGCTCTCCGCCCCCAAGCTCGCCGGCGGCGCCGAGGCCGCCGCGCGCTGCCCCGGCGCCACTTTCTCGGTGGCTGCCTTAGCTGTGCCCAGCAGCTGCGCCGGCTGCGGCGTGCAGGCGCTCGAGTCATACTGGCTGTTCACTCCGCCGGAAGATCTGGGGGCGGTCAAGGAATTCCAGCTGCCCTTCACAGTGCAGGCCACGTGCGCTGGCGGCTCTGAGCCACTCGGGGACGCTGCTGTGGGAGTGGTCACCCTCTCGCTGTCGCCGCCCGGCTGGGACGGCCCTTGGTGCCCCCAGGAGTGGCCGCAGCTGTCGGGCGTGGGGGTTGCGGTCAGCGTCGCGTTTGCCCCATCACGGGCGGCCAACTGTGGCGCGGCGCCGTTTGCGGGGGGCGCGGGCAAGGCAGGGCAGGTGTTTGCTGCGCTCGTGACAAAAGTGGTCAAGGCGGGCAGCAAGGCGGCAAGCGGCGAGCTGCCGCAGGCGGTGGCGACGCCGCTCTCCATATGCAAGGTGCGCGGGCCAGGGTCGTTCTTGCTGAAATCACATGTGTGGAGGAGAGCATAGTGCATACATGCGTCGTTGGTGGCTGATGGCGGGCCTGTCAGAACGGCCTGTGCACTTGTGAGTGTGTGAGAATGTGCACGGGTCAATAACAATCGGTGGCCAGAGTCTTGATACTATGAAGGCTGTCTTGCCAGCAGCAGAGAAATGCAGTTTGGTTGAACTGACAGCAGCTACGCAGTCGCAGCTGAGCACACCTGCACAGCTGGGCGCACCTGCACAGCTGTGCGGTCGCATGTGGACGCGCTCGCACCCCTGCATTTCAATCCCCTGCCCTCAAACACACATTGCGTCCGCAGGACGAGGACGAGACCAATGTGGGATACGGCATCACCCAGGCCGTCATCGACGTGCGGCCCGCGGCCGACGCCGACCTGCCAGCGCTCCGCGCCGCCCTCTCCTCAGCCCTCCATCAGGCCAACCTCTGCCCCAGCCAGCCCAGCACGCCCTTCCCCGCCGGCGCCCCGGCCGAGGCGTTCCGGCGCTTCTGCGGCGACGCGGCGGGCGGGGAGGGGCGCGTGGCCCAATTTGCGCTGGTTTGTGTGAAGGACGCGCCCGAGTCGGGCGGGCCGTACGAGAAGGGCCGCGCGGCCACCGGCGTCGCGCTCAACTGAGCAAGGGGCTTGCAGACCTGCCGCTGCGCCTCCAAGTCGGCTGTGTGTTGGTCCGCGCCGGGGCACGTGCGTGCGGGCGTGCACATTGACGACCTGCAGCACCTGCATCGTTGGCGACGCACACGCGGCGGGGCACGACGGCGCCGACGTAGTGTGTGTGGATGCCCACCTGCCGGCTTTGCATGTGTCGCCTGTAAATTTTATGCGCAGTCCATTTGCGTGATCTGACGCACGCGCAAATCCTCCAACCCGCAAACAACTCCGCCCTCAAGCTTCCTCGACCACCGATGCAATCTGTGCTGTTTCATCGCTGTTGACCGCATCGCTAGCCAAGCGCACTGGGCGCCGGGCCCCGCCACCTGTCTGGCCGTGCCATGGCTCTCATCGTTTGCTTTCTTCGTGGCACGCCTGCCTGGTCGCCCGGCACCCGGCTCAACAACCAGCGTGTTGTCGACACCAGTGCACCAAAACGAACCAAAGACGGTCGCACGGCCCACTCATGTGTTCTTGGTCACGAGGCGCGCGGCCGCATGGCGTCCTTGCGTTCACGCCTGCAAACAACATCGCGTCCTGCACTGCAGCACATCGGCGGGTTACCACATCCTGTTCCCGCGTTCACAAACACGCCAACAGAGCGTTACATATGGTGCCCACATACAATTCATCCAACTCTGACCGTCCAAAAAGTTCCATTTACAAGACTTGTGCGCTTGCTCCTGTGACCTGTTGAAGTGGGGGCGTTTCAACCCCCCCCCCCCCCCCCACGCACCCTTCCCTGGGGAGCCAAGTTTCCCCTTGTCCACAGGGTTCCCCCCTCGCGGCTGGTAATGTGTAATGTGTGCACATTTAATGTCATGTGCTGTTTGCCCACGAGAACACACTGTGCACCTGAAGAAGCCCAGAAGGCCGGTCGCCAGCACGTGGGACTGCATTCCGTTCGCGTTTTGCCCCGCACGTAAAAGTGGGAGCGAACGTGCTGCCGACAGCTGCGCCGGCACTTGCCCGCAGCTCAGACCACATACTTGTGATGATGGACTGCGGGAAAGCTGGGTAATCTTACACAAATGCAAGCTGCAAGCTGCAAGCAGAACGCAACACGCAAAGGTCATGTGGGGAGGCCCTGGGGACGGAGCGCCCCATCACACGCAGGCGCAGCAGATAGGGCACTCCTAACAGCACCCCAAAGCCATAGTCTGGCCCCAACCTGCCATCCTGCTCACTTCTACAGAGGGCGCGGCGTCAAAGCGCGCGCGCAGGGGTCGATAAATGGACCGCCGGGCCTGCCGGCCCCGCATGTCACTGCAGCTGTTCCCGTGCCGAGGGCCCCTGTGAGCTGTAACGACCTAACGCTGCTGTGTGTGCTGCTCCCTGGCGACATTTGGGTCGCCTTAGGTATGGTGTTGACCGCTGCAGGCTATAAACCCTGATCTGTAGTGTGCGCGGCGCGAGCCCCAGTCGCTGGTCAAAAGAAAAGCTCGGCCAGGCTCAGGCAGGAGTGTTGATCAGGACTGAGCGCTGCAAACACTGCTGCGGCAGTCCGTGCTAGAGAACCAGCCACGTGCGGCTGAGGGTGGGCAACTGGGGGGGCGCTTTGAGCTTGGAGACACACTTCAAAAGCACAGGGTGGCGCTTGCCACCAGCACGACGTGGAACCCGTGGGTTGCGGGGCCTCGTTACCGCACGCGTCGAGCAAGGTGCAAGACGCGCGCCACCGATGGCCCCCAGCTGGGGGCCCCGCCCGCCCACGCGCCGGCGCACTGCCGCATGTGCTGGACGCTCGCAAGCCGCGAGGCCGCCGCCGCTGGCGTCGCCCGCGTGTTCGACGGCAGGGGCTGACCGGACATTGGGGCTGCAACAGCGGCCGTTGTGAGCTGGCGGGCGCTGCCGCCGAGCGCCAAGCTGCCACCCAGGCCGCTGCCAAATCCCTGCGGCAGCCCCTCCTGCCGCCACAGCGGCCGCGGCGGCGCCTGTATACTGTGCACCCGCGCTGCCTGCGCCGCAGCCGCCGCCGCCGGGGGCTGCCACGCGCGCCCGCCGCCGCCGTCGCCGCCCTGAGCGCCGCCGCTGCTCTTGAGCGCCCTGCCGCCCTCGCGGCCGCCGCCTGTGCGTGCGGCCTCGTGGTCGCGGCTGGGGGTAAACGCGCAGCTGCTGCAGCCCCTGGCGGCCGCCGGCGGCCAGGCCGCATCCCCCGAGCCGCCGAGCCGGCCCCAAGTCGAGTAAGGCGCCGCCCCCCCAACCACATGCGGCAGCGGCCGCCGCCGCCGGGTGGGCCCCACGGCAGACGCGGGCCCGGCCGCCGCCGCGGCGGCGGATACCGCGCCGACGGGCGTCCTGTACGCAGCCTCGTCGCGCGCGGCCGCGTCGCGCCGCTCGACCTGCTGAGTCAGCACCCGCATGTCGCGGCGCGCGGCGCCGACGCGGCCGTCGAAGGCGACGGCGGTGGCTGCGGCCCATGACGCGGCGTGGACCTCCCCGCTGTTGACAATTGCCCTGACCTCCTGCAGGGCACACAAGAGGGGGGCAGCAGCTGTTCATCGTTTCGTCAAGAAGAATGGATGCCTTGAGACGACAGGCCCACGACTAGTTCGGACGCATGGAGGCACGCACATGCATGCACACACAGACACACACACATATACAAAAACTTATCCATGCACACAGACAATCTGACCCACACCCACCCACCCACCCACCCACACGCAAGCGCTCGCGCTCGCGCGCGCGCTCACACACACGCACACACACACACGCACACACACACACGCACGCACGCGCGCCC